GCTAGAACGAGTACGGTTTACGTTCTCCCATTCCCGCTTTCTGACCCGTATTTAATTGCGATTTATTCTGACTCCGTATTAACTGATAAAATATAGACAAATTCTCCAGCGGGAGATCACAAAAACTTATGACAGTTCTGGTCTTACACGTGCACCGAAAAGATGAGAAATGAATCGCATTAGAAATCACAGCTTTTTGTTACTTCAGGAACAGTAGGATTGTTTCCAACTGGTCAAATGGCGGGGAGTCGAAAAACTTTTGGCAGCGGTGGGATTCGAACCCACGCCCCCGAAGAGACTGGAGCCTTAATCCAGCGCCTTAGACCGCTCGGCCACGCTACCCGCAAGATTGTTGTGTTTTGGTCTCTCACAGAATGACGGTTGTCCTCACCTCTTGTCGTTGGAGGCGTGGGAGCGACTGAACCTTCGATTACTGAGATGTTTCCTCTCTCTTGGTGAAATCTCTACTTCTCTGGCACCTCTGCATGTAGTTCTTCTTAGCCTGAGGCTTCAGAGCTCTATGTATAGCGTCCTTGAAGTCATTTTACAGGAGGAGGCTTTCTGAAACGTGTAGCGCCTCCTAAAATTAGAAGCTTTTAAAGGGTGCTCACACCTGAAGAAGGCTCCACGGCCGGAACGTGTTTTCTTTCTTCTTTTTTTTCAGCATGGAATCAACCTTTTACTCGTTCCTTTGCAGCCTACGCATGCTGGCCCAGCTCCCCACCTGAACTACTTCAGCTTTTAAAGGGTTCGATCTGGTGACAAGGATGAGGTTAATTTAAAATTTGAATGACACAAACCCACATTCGGTTGAAGTGTATAGCTCCCATTTAAGTCTGCGGAATTTCACTCGAAGAAATTCTGTTGGATCTAGAAAACCTTGCCTTTAAGTATTTAGCACGTAGGGGTTTCACAATCTCCCGAAGGGTAATATCGAGTGAGGCGCCATGAGAATAAAAACTGCGAAGGTATTAAAATATTTACTTATAAGAATATTTCAATCTTGTTTGATCCTTCATGATGCTTTTAAACTTGTTTGAAACCCACGAAATTAGTATTCTATTTTCGACGCCAAAAATTGGAAATTCGTGACTTCCCACAAGACTTAACACTGAATTGTTATAGTCGCATTAAAGTGTTAAGCAATTCATCGTGCCTTTAACTTCAAGAATGGTCTGCTAATAAAAGCGTCAAATACAGACTCTGGTACTACTGTAGTAGTCGGTATTCTGTCATTTCAGTTTTTCACGTCGCTCCGTGGTTCTTTGAAAAGTTCATCACTTTATAGCTTTTCCTTCATATAGCGAAACAGTTCACGATGTTGTTGTCGCTGCGCTCTATGTAGATCATCTCCATGAAAGCTCTTGTAACAGTACAGTGAGGATTCGCGCAGCTTTCAGCTCAGTGCGGAGTCCAGAGGGAGTCTCGCTCGCTGAACGGGTTTTCAAGTAAACCCGGCTGAGAGTCAACAGGTCAATTCTTCAACAGCCGTGACAAGAAAGACGATCTTTTCCTACTTTTCTCCAGATGACTTTAAATTATTCTAAATAAAGCGAATGCATTGGAAGTATGTTTAAAAGCGCCGAGAAACATCGTAACACTTCGAGAGTGCCTGAATTTCACCGTGTACAGCGGGCTCTTTAAGGAAACGAGTTAAGTTTCCACTGACTCAAGCGTAGTTTGCAGTATGAGTTGAGCCGATATAAAACTCCTGGTGATTTCTGTGATTGAGCCCGGGACCTCATTCATGCTAAGCATGTCCCCAACCAAGACAGAGGGAGAAGGAAATCGATCAAGCACGGAAGTATCGTTGTTGGGGGATTTTAGCCTGCAGTTACACTACGTCACCTGTCATCTCTTGTGCCGTCTGGAATAGCGCTGGTGGATGTGAAAAAAAATGTAACAGAGGTTGAAACGTATTTAACATTGAAAATATACACGGTACAACTCGAGAAACTAAAGGACAAAAGACCAAGTATTTTGGATGTTTGCAATTGGCACAAGAAAATCAATCGCCCGAACAGGGACTTGAACCCTGGACCCTCAGATTAAAAGTCTGATGCTCTACCGACTGAGCTATCCGGGCTCTGAGAAGCACAGACTACCGGCAGTGTCCTCGGGAGTCAAGCGAGGCAAAGCGCAGTCATACCTGACCCGTCTGGGACGACACCCGACAGATTTTACCCAGAAGCGACAGCACCACTCCCAGTAGGATGAGAAATACAGTGAGACATGGGGCGTCAAGGGGCTCCCTCAATTCATCCTCCGTCTCATCGAGGGCAGAGAAAAGTAAAGGCACTGTGCACATCTGCGGGAAATCATGTCGGAGTTTAGTGACAGCGACTTCAGAGACTGGACGCTAGGAATTTTCAGGATACTTTTAAATTATAGCTTCAAACAAACCTGAATTATTTTGCATGAAACATTTCGGAATCCCTGTGAAATCCAGTACGAGTACGGTTTACGTTCTCCCATTCCCGGTTTCTGACCCGTATTTAATTGCGATTTATTCTGACTGCGAATTAACTGATAAAATATAGAGAAATTCTCCCACGGGAGATCACAAAAACGTATTACAGTTCAGGTCGTAAAACGTGCACCGCAGGGATGAGAAATGAATTGCAATCACAGCTTCCCGCCTCTTGCAATAGTGTCATGTTATTTTTCGTTACTTTAAGAACAGTAGGATTGTTTCCAACTGGTCAAATTGCGGGGAGGCCAAAAGGTATTGGCAGCGGTGGGATTCGAACCCACGCCTCCGAAGAGACTGGAGCCTTAATCCAGCGCCTTAGACCGCTCGGCCACGCTACCCGCCGCTTTCTTTGTTGCTGTCTTAGAGAATGACGGGTGTCGTCACCTCTTGTCGTTGGACGCGTGGAAGCTACTGCACCTTGGATTACTGAGATGTTTCCTCTCTCTTGGCGAAATCTCTACTTCTTTGGCACCTCTGGATATAGTTCTTCTGAGCGACAGGGTTCAGAGCTCTACGTATAGCGTCCTTGAAGTCATTTTTTACAGGAGTAGCGCCTGCTAAAATTAGAAGCTTTTAAAGAGTTCGATCTGGCGACAAGGAGGAGGTCAATTTAAAATTTGAATGACAAAAATCCTCACTTGGAGTCTGGGGGTAGAGGCGCATAGTTCCCATTTCAGTCTGCTGTATTTGATTCAGAGACACTCTGTGGGATAGTGCCATGAGGGCAGGGCTCCACTTCCAGTGCCAGGAACACAACAGCTCGGAGTCTGTGTGTGACAGTGGGAGAGTGTGGAATTCACTTTGGCCTGATGTGCCTCTCAGTGCACAAAGACTCTGTTCACCCAGGCAGGACTAATTTCCATCAACTTCAGATTCCCCTTTCAGCATGAGCCTGTGTGGTAAGCAAAGGCTTAAACTCACAGAGCTGGTTATAATTGCAGCTCTCTTGTAACAGAGCTCACTATCTTAACCCTGCCCTTGTCCTGGTGAGGGTCTCTGACACCTTCGTCCTGTGGAGTCCTGAGACTCATCCCTTTCGTCTTCTTCTGCAGGACCCCCGGTGTCGGAGAGCCGCAGCAGAGCGGACTGGGATCAGAGACCTGCGAGCCAGGAGGACTCCTCGTGCCCTGAGCCAGCCTGCAGCAGGTACTGTGTTTGCCATCCTGCTCCTGAAGCTCCGTGTCTGCTGTCGCTTCTGAGTTCAGGTGCTTTTCTCCCTCCCTGCTGCTCCTCACACTGTTTCTGGCAGGTTTCCCCTTTCTGTGAAAATAAATGCAACAATAAAATCATGTAATAAATAAACTGGAGGACCTTGGAGATATGAAGAACGGATATGGGATTAGAACCCCCTAAAAATTCATTCTTAAGGAGCTTTAATGAAATCCTCACTCTTTGTTGTATGAAGTTGTCCAATATGATAAACGTGGTCAAACTACATGAGAAGCAGTTTCTTGCCCATTGGTTAATTAAAGACCCCCTATTATTTATAAATATGACTTACATTAATATTAATAACATTAACAGCTCCGATACAACGGAATGCTTAATGAATGCTGAGTCACATCAGCCACCGAGAGACCCGGTGATTTGCAAAGTTAGTTAAACAAAAATACACACTAGAAAATACAAAGACCTTATAACATACAATCTTTATAGCAGATATATAGTATATTTTAGAATAGATTTATCAGGGTCCCAACTAGACAAATGGAAGATACAAACAATGTGGTTTCCGTGCTATTGGATCTTCTCAGCAGTGATGAGTCCAGGACGGTCGCTGAGCCTCGTATCTCTTCTACATACCAGTTCAAACAGGCTGCAGTACCGCAGAGAAACAGCAGAGGGAAGCAAATGCGCATTAGAGACCTCCCGGTGCATGAAACAGTCAGACTAGCAGTCAAATTAAAATGTTACCTTGAGGTGTTAAAATGTCATGCAGGAATATCTGAGGAGGCTGAAATTTTTGTGCCTTTAGTGCATCCTAATCAGTAGTGTTCAGTAATATAATGACAGGAGACTCCAACTGGCTCATTCATTACATACCACAGGTCTCGTTATAATCCACATAAAATGAGAAACTAATTTAAAAGCTCATTCTCCTATTCCACTGTATGAATACAGTGTGTTTCTTATAAACACAAACCAGTTTGGAGTGGTCTGATTTATTTAGGGAATCATTAGGATTTCACTTACTGGATATAAAATATCTTTACTGCTTTGCTATAATAATGATTTTATTTTCCAGATAGATGGAAACGGAAAGCACACGTTTAGGTAGGTCCCGTTTTCAGGTCACACATTTAAAGAAACCCATTTAAGAACACTTTCAATGCACCAATCAAACCGGAACAGAGTTTAGATTGTTTAGAAGTGAAAGTGGAACAATAATGGTTTACAGTAATTACTTCTTCATTTCTCTTTTTAGGGATCTATGAGGGAAAAAAAACCCTTTCAGATGTCAGTAAATATATTTTGAACATGTGTCAACACATCCAGTAAAACATCACTTTATTCAACTGTATCTCTTCCTAGAATAGGAAAGTGAAGCACATATATCTTTCACGTAAAAGTTAATTGAAGGCTCCTCAGACCTTTAAGACAGAAATCCCTGCTTGGCCTAACCTACCAACCCATGGGCACAAGGAGGGATAGACCCAGGAGGGACACCAGTCTGTCACAGGTCTCACACACAAACATTTTCCCAGGAGCCAGCTTAACCAACTGGTATGTTTTTCAACTGTGGGACACTACTGGAGCACCCAGAGGAAACCCACACAAACACAGGGAGAGTATACAAACTCCACACATGTAGCACCCTAGTCATTGAGCCCAGGGCCTTTGCATTGCATAGCTGTGATGCTAACCAAGTGCCACCATGCCACCCGAAGATATTTAGATAAAATGCAAATTGTTTTATGGCATGTATAAATCCCCTTAAAACAAATCGTGTGTTTGTGCATATGTAAAGTACAAGAGGAAGAGAGTTTCACCTTTGGTCTGTATTTCTTCAGCACTTTGTCATATTTCCGCTCTGCTAGAGCGCTCACTGTCGTGTGTGTGTAACAGACAGCACAGCAATATAGTGCTGATGTCCCAAGATGTGGGAGGATAGGACTCACTGGATGATTGTCTGCTTCGTTGGGCTCGGTGCTATTACATCTGGAGAACCTACACAATCGGTGAGTTTATGTATTTATATATGTGTGCTTGTATCTCGCAGACACCTCCCACCCATCCTCGAGCTGTGCAAATAGCCCAGCAGACTTCACAGAAAGTGACATCACAGCAATGATCTCACCTTGTGAAACCTGTTCAGAACCTGTGACATTGTAAAATATAATAACAACCGATAAATTTCCTTTAAGCTACTGTCTCAATTATTCATTTGAATTCTGAGCTGAAAACTCTTTCAGTCTTGTAGTATGATAATTACGTACTCACTATTACAAAAAATTTCAAAATAATACATTGTCCGGGACAGGATAGCTGGTGTCATCATGTTACAAAGTAAAGTTCTGAAAAACATGACTGTTTTTCAATGTTTTGTAAGCTGTTTTTCTTAATTTGCTATTTTTGTATCAAAGTTCCCCCACACAGTGAAACTGGATATGGCTGAGAACTCAGTCGACGATCAGTATCTGAGCTGTCAGACTGAGATGCTGAATGTGACAGTAAAAGGAGGACTTCTGGAAAAGGAGAAGAAGGAGAACCACCTATTTCGTGAAGCCTGGGATGTTGTCGAATGCACTGAACCTGTTCCTGGGGGAACACCTGAGCACTGCAGAGCGATTTTTGTCTACACCTCCAACTCCATTTACCTGGAATTCAATAAAGCCACAAGAAGCAGTGGGGGCAGCGTGCAGGACTACATGAACACTTACCCATACAAGTCTCTTCACTTCCTGCTGACCGACGCTCTCCGCTTGCTGAGACAACAACTCACTGTCTGCTATAAGGTGTACAGGGGAAGTAGAGAAGGCTTTGTGGCAGAAGTGAACTCAGAAATAAGATTCGGACAGTTTTCATCCAGCTCTAAAGATGAAGCCTTTGCACACTTTTTTGGAGATACTACCTTCTTCGAAATCCAGACCTGCCATGGGGTGGACATTGAGAAGTTCTCCCAGTTTCCAGCTGAGGCCGAGGTGCTGATCCCTCCCTTTGAGAAGTTCAAGGTGAAGTCAGTGACAGAAACAGACAAAGGCAAGAAGAAGATTGTTCTGCAGTCCCGTGGTACCTACAGTAATCATGCATGTTCATTCTTTCCAAGGCAAGTTCCAGGGGTTCTTCTCATACCCTGTTTTAGAGTTGTATGTGAACAACATATATGCTGGCATTAAAGGAGACTATAATGTGGTACAGTGAGCTATGAACTATAAATAAGTCCATTATTTCCACCAATGGCTGGATTTTGTTTTTCCCCAAGTATCGTTACACTGCTACCACACCTATCCCACTACTGCCCCCAATTGAAAATAATGAACTTCCCAATATGTCTTTTCCAAATGGCCCCCATTCATTCTTATACTTTTTGTGTGATACACAGAAGTGGAATGGTTGCAGTGAATTTAATATTTATTTCTCCAGAGGGAGCACATGCTGTATTAGTTAAGAGGCACACTTTCTCTTTCTCAGGCTGTGACAGGAGATCACACTGATCAATCTGCGGTCACTATGCTTGTTTTTTTCTGTACAGCCAGGTATGCCTCAGTCTAGTTTCTATGCACAAGCTGTAGGCACTGTGTCTGTGCTCTCTGGAAAGCCAAGTCTGCCTGTGTCACCCCACATCTGTGACCAGGCTATGGTCAATGACCAAGTCCTCTCTGGACACTCAGGTCTGTCTGTGTCCAGCTTTAATGGCCAAGCTGTAGTCAGTGAGCCTGTAGTTTATCAGGCTCTATTTCATATGGGCTTCCTCTCCAAAGACAAACAAGTAAGTTCATTGGCTTCTGTGTAGATTGGTGTGAGTGTGTTTGTGTGTGTCTGCACCGCAATGGACTGGCGTCTCCTGCAGGGTGTATCCTGTCTTTCACCTGTTAATTGCAAGGATTGACTCTTCCTTGGAAGAATCGGTTAGAAAATAGGTGGATGGATTATTTATATTTAAGAATTTCAAAGATTCGCAGCTTGTGCATTTTAAAGGTCATGCAGTTTTGTTCTCAGTGGCTGTACAGTACATCTAAAAGAAATGCTTTAATTGAAGAATGTACTGACTGTCATGTCTAGTGATATGTGCATCTGTAACTCTCTGTTCTCCTCACCCTCTCTCTGTCCAGCTGACTCTCTCTCCTCTCGTACTCCAGCTCTAGGTCCTCCCCTTGCACCCTCTCCTCCTCTGTCCTGGCTCCTGTGCTCTCTGTGGTTCTGCTCCTGCAAGGCCTTCTGGGATAATGCCCAGGATACTGCTTGCTGTCCAACTGGGTGAGTCTTCGTCAGCTCACAAGGTTCCTGAGTCTCCGTGAGCTGGAGATATATTGATCTTTCCTCTGTTCGCAGGTCAACATGGGAACTGACTACAGCTGCAGTTTGTTACCATCCTTCACAAGAGAGAAATCATGAAGATTAATTAATGACTGAAAACTGTATTTATGCTTCAGGTGATGTAGTAATAGATGGTGGAAAATTAGAAATGCAGCATTGATTACTAAACTGATTTGGGAGTAACAAATTAATAAGAATTAATTATTTTTGGTTAATGACTTTAAAGCTATTCAGGCTAAAAAGATCTATACTTGATATCTATACTGATTAAGGAGAAGAGGCTGTTATATTTTTAGTGTGTGCAATTTCAAATCTTTCTAATCTTCACTTTAACTCTGTAAGCCCTTCTACTATAAACAGCTATTGACATAGAGGTATTTTTATGTTACTGCACCTTTTCAGTATGTCAGGACTGTTGAAACTCACTGTGACTGTAGCCTCTATTGTAACAGGACTGTTCTCCTGTACTGGGACTGTAGCTCCTATTGTAACAGGACTGTTCTCCTAAACTGTGGTTGTATTCTCTATTGTAACAGGAGTGTTCTCCTGTACTGTGGTTGTATTCTCTATTTTAACAGGACTGTTCTACTGTACTGAGACTGTAGCTGCTACTGTAACAGGACTGTTCTACTATAATGTGACAGTAATACATCGGAGATTGTCAAGTGTTTTCTTATACAGTTTGGTAGTGTACAGTGTGCATTATTGTGCAGTCTATACAGTCTGTTTGTCAGTGTACAGTGTGTCACTATACAATGTCTGCACAGTCCGTTGGCTGGCTGAAACAACAACAAGACTGGTCAGCTTTTAACACTTTCCCACATCTCTTTGTGTAAGAAGTGCCTCCATGACCCATAAGCCATGGGATCTCTCACTGCAACAGAAACAGAAACTGCAAACAAAACGATAAAACAGGTAACAGGTTCCACAAAAATTAGAATTGTGCAAGACTACAGAACTGATGTATATGAAAAAAGTGTCAAATAATAATTGGCAGCTCAATAGGAAGTGGACACATTGCAGAGGAAATGGCTACATGAATTTGAAACTTATCCTCCTCATTCCTGAATGCAGTCTCACAGATTAATGTATCGACACTGATGAAGGAAGTGCTAAACCATTCCACAGTGCTTTGCTCTCAAAGATTCCTGAACATGTTCAGTCCACTTGATTAATTGTAATTGTACATATTTGTTGGGTTGTCTAACTTTAGTTTACTCTTCAGGAAGTAGAACACGGTTCAAATCAGGAGACTGACTTGGCCAGTTCAACAGTTTCCACTACTTCTTCCTGATGACCTCCTTGGATAAGTGTGCCGTATGTTTTGGGTCATTTTCTTGCTGCAGGGTAAGACAAAAGAAAGCTTCTGGAAAGAGATGAGTAAATGGCTGGAAAATAGAGAATGAGAAAAGTGCAGGTTGCTAAGACATAAGATAAATGTCTTTTACACTATCCCTATCAGGTAGACATCACCTGATCAGGGGCAAGTTGTTAGGCGAGGAGTGCTGTGACTCAGGCGCTCTTCCAGCTTTGCTGTGGCTGCTGGCCGGAGAGGAAGGAGCAGGGTGTCTGATGGTCCAGTTGAGTTCTTTGCTACTTCTTTGCCTTCGTGTGCTGGCTTCCTTGGGTCTTAACGTCCAGTCCTCTTGGGCCGAACTTCAAGAACTTCAATCTTCCTGGGCCTTTCTTCACTGGACTAACCTCCTGTCCTCCTGGGCCTAACGTCCATCCTCAGACCTGACTTCCAAATTGTGGTTCTCGGCTTGCCCTGTTTATTAGCCTCAGACCAAGATCACTTGTCAGTCATGTCTGCCAGGGTTCTGGTTGGCCAGTTCAAATCTGATATTTGCATATCTCTCCTTCAGGAACTTGTATTGCTTCTATTAGGAGAGACAGGATGTAATGCTCAATATTTGCGAAAACTCATAACTTCTTCTGAGTTTGATATTTCGATTTTTGAACTACTCATGTTTTGGAGTACTAATGGAATTTGTCTGCACTTTGTTTGGCTGATATTGAGATTTCTGAACTACTCATGTTTTGCCCATTCATTTGATACCAAACAAGCATAGCCCACTTCTTCCTGAAGTGATTACTATCCCTTGTATTGTATTTTAATTGAATATTTTGAGTTTACCCTTTTGTGAGGGAATGAAGTATGTGATGTGGCATCATATCCAGCACTTTGTGCTGTCTTATACAATAAAAACTGAAAGACGGGGTTAAATTAAATCCTTTCTGTATGAGGTTTAGACTTCTAAACAACAGGCTGGAGTTTATGGTAGGAAAGGGGGTTAACTGATAAGGATTCCAGATGCGAGCTAGGAACCCCCTGGGGACGTAATCTTAACTGACCATTTGGCCAGGGTCTGTTAACTGGCCAAATACCATGACCCCCACTTTTTACCATAATACAGAGTGACGTCAGAAGCGGAAAGAAAATACTATATAAACTAAAAGTTTGTACCTGCACTTGGAACAATACTTTGGTTTTGTTGTTTCTTGCGGGAAACAAGACTTCGGCTTGATTGTTCCTTGCATGCAATAAACTCATCTGTTTAATTTCATCTCAGGATCCAGAACCTTAATCTTTCTGTTACAGCAACACTATTTTGTCATGTCAAAATCCTGATATGCAATACAAGCAATGGCAGGTGGTTGTACCTCATTTCGCCACTGAAGGTGTGTCTTGTTTTTCCAAATTTTGGTCCTCATCCGATGTGATTTGATCGAATAATCTATTATTATAATCTAAATCCTTTTTGTAATGCTTGTTGCAATCAGAATTCTGACTGTTTTTTCTGTTTAAATATAAATAGCCCTTTGATCTAAGACCAAATAGTGGTATCTAAGGGCATTTGAACAGATATTCCTTGTTTTCTTGAGGTTTATGTTTCTTTTGAGCATAACTATGTGATTTCTTCATGGTTATACTTCATTTCTTCATGTACTGTAATGTCAACATTGGTTGACATTGGTTAAATGGTAAAACATGGTGTTCGTGGTACATAGGATATATATATATATGAACAAGTTTAAGGTCTGCTGAAAGGAAACACAATGTTTTGGCTGTGGAGCCTGTCACGGACGTCCAAAGGGACTAACCGTGGGGAGCAGGAGAGCGGAAAAAGACCCATATGCGTAGCGGCGAGATGGGGAAAAGGCCCGGGCTCATTAGTGCAAAGAGTTCAGGAATGCCGTATAGAAACCTATGCCCTCAGGGAGCGGACGTGGGGCGCTCTGGTGCTAGGCGGGTCTCAGGACATCCGAACCTCAATGCTGAGCCAGGACAGAGTGCAAGACCCGGAAATATATAGCCCAAGGTAAAGAGAGGGACAGGAAGGACAGCAGACCGGAAACTAGGGACAGGACAGAGAAGGAGCGCCCTCTGGCTGCAGAGGGCGTGACAGAGCCTTCTTCGGGTGTGAGGTTTAAAATTCCTTAGCTTCTCTGATGTTGTTGGCAGAAAGGTTCATCTGTTGTTTGATGGAGAAAATGGTAGAAAGCATTTTCCGCGAAAATAGTTGTAGAAGTCTCTGAGTGTCAGAGTCAAAGGAAAAAGTGTTACATTTCCGGCGAACTCCTTTGGGAATGATATTATAACGACGACATGAAGGAATAGGAGGTGGTGAGAAAGCCTGGTCGTGGAACAGATCGCTGGGAAGAGACGGGATGCTGGTTTGGTGAGAGAGGGAGGGAAGCAGCCCAGGGAGGAGGAGGAGGAACGACGAAGAGATCTGGAAAAAGATTTAGAGGAAGGCATAGTGGGTCGCAGCAGAAGTAGGTTGAAGTAGGGAGCTGCATCAGCATGGGTAGGCTGCAAAGGAACAAGTTAAATGTTTATTCCCTGCATGAAACAGAACGTTTCGGCTGTGGAGCCTTCTCGGGTGTGAGCGTATATATGGACGATTTTAAGGTATGGTTGCAAGGAGTCTTGAAACTGAATCTTGACAAGAGTCCTTCATTGCATTCATTGCCAGGTAGTGGCCCCAAATTTATGGCCTTGCCGCTGGTGGAGAGTCTCTTCTCTTGACTCGTGAATCACCAGGCCTACTTTGTTCACTAAGTGGTGATTGTCTCACACTAGGGGGTGCTGCAATCAAAGAGAACTTACAAGCATCCTTCTGCAGTTCCATAGTGAATTGCAATTAATTCAGCATATCATAACAACTCAGGGACCGCATGACATTCCTTGATTTAAATTCTATACTTTTAACCATATATCCTATCATTTCGCCATTGCTTCTCCAGATTGTCTAGTATATAGTTCTGTGTCAGCCCCTCCTTGTCAGTGTATGGGCTTGTGTATTGCAGCGTGGTGGAGCTATTTTTGAAATGTTATCATACAGTGGCCTGTGCTGTGCAGGGATTTGCAGATCAATCTGTCATTGCTTAACCACCTGGGCTGCTGCAGCAAACTGCACAGGATGTGGCTTCACAAACACATGGGGCACATACTAAACCAACAATCTAATTCACACAAGCTCACAAACTGCACACCGCACTGACACACTTCGTCTGACAACACCTTAACATTCTGTTAATTCTTATTGCCTTGGCAACAGTGTAATTCCTTGGTCATGCCAATAAAGCTGTTTGAATTTGAACTCGAATTTGAATTTGAGTTTTAATTTGAATTTGGACCTGAGAGACAGATCAGTGTGCAGTGACAAGTGACAGATCACTATAGACATGAGACAGCCTCAGAGCAGCACTGCAAAAACACCATAAGTTAGGCAATGAAATCACAGCAGAAGCTAAAAACCATTAAAATATCCATTGATATACCCACTCAAACTGGATTGCAGCCCATTGTGTGATCTCCTGTCACAGCTTGAGAAACAGACAGTGAGCCTGTCTCTCAATAATAATAATGCAGTGTGTGATCTCCTCTTCCAGCCTGAGGAACAGACAGTGAGCCTGTCTCTCAATAATAATAATACAGTGTGTTATTTCCTGCCACAGCCTGAGGAACAGACAGTGAGCCTGTCTCTCAATAATAATAATACAGTGTGATCTCCTGTCACAGCCTGAGGAACAGACAGTGAGCCTGTCTCTCAATAATAATGATACAGTGTGTGATCTCCTCTTCCAGCCTGAGGAACAGACAGTGAGCCTGTCTCTCAATAATAATAATGCAGTGTGTGATCTCCTGTCACAGTCTGAGAAAGAGACTATCTCATAATGTATTATGAAATGTATATAAATGTTCAATTATATGCCTGTTCTGTAAATGCTGAATGTAAATTTTATCTGTTTTGACAACAACATAATTCATTGGTTATGCCAAAAATGCTCTTGAATTTGAATTTGAATTTGAAAAAATAGAAAGGCAGAGGAGAGAGAGGGAGCAGTTCTCAAGTTCACCACATCCTGTTATGTTATGAGTCGTCAGTCACACTAGTCTTTAATCACTCTTCAGTGTTTTTCTTTTTCTAATCTTTTGCACACTAAACTAAACTCTAATCTAAACAACAGTTGAAATACAGCTAATTCAGGAAGTTTCATTACTTTACTACTGGGATTGGGAAAATAAGAGCATAAACAAAAGACAAAAAAGGAAAAATGTCTGTGATAAATTCAAAATGATCATTGCTCTGATTAATTAATTCAACACTCTCTCCTTCTCCCCCACCTGTCTCTCAGTTCTTTTCATTCTAACATTTTAATTCTCTAGAACTACAATAAACGTAGTGCCAAGGCTTGGGACATAAAATACAGTAAAAATAAAAATACAATTCAGTTTTAAGCAAAAGCAAAACCAGACAAATACACACTACAGAGACAAATGCAAGAACAGCATATCCAAGTTTGGATATGAATCCCAGGGGTATCTCTCTGCAGAGTCCTCATTTTGCATAACAGACAAATGTCTGGAGAGTTTCCAACAAATGGCGTGGAGGTGCCTGGTGTGTGATCCTAATGGTATTGAATCAGTGGACCTAAAGGTCTCTGACCTGTAAACTTTAAAGGTGTCAGACCCTTGGGCCTGGTGGTGTCTGATCAGCGGGCCTGGTGGT